ATACCAAACAGGAGTTAATATTTTATATTTAGAAGCTTTTTAGTATGAGGAGTGTAGCAAAGTGGTTTAACCCTTGACTGGTGTGCATGAGGACCTGGGTTCAGTCCCCATTACCCACTCCTAAAATCAAAATGCTTTCCTTACTGTGCCGACAAATGCCATTCCTTTGTTCTCAATAAGAAAAAGCCCCACACTTGAGATTTTCTTTTCAGAAATAAACAGAAAGAACCACCCACTAGTCCAGTGTCAATGCCCCTACGTTTGTGAAATTGGTGTTACGAGCAGAGGACACGGCCCCGGACATGCACCGCCCACAAGCATCCTGGGAGTTTCTGAAACCTAGGAGCTCGCCCTAGAGCCCACTGCAAGGACACATTGCAGGATCCACTGAGTCACCTCTGAGTTAAAAGAAAAGAAAAATCACCCTTGTGTCAACTTAGAGTTTAAATAAGTTGAAGCAGCAAAGCGTTAACAATCTAGAGGTTGAGTTTGAATTCATGAATTTGTCTTTACTGACTTTATTTCTGGCAATAGCTGTGCTTTCCAGGATATAAACAGGTAGGAAAGTAGTTAATTAAAAAAACAAGTTGACTGTCATCAAGTAGCGGTTTCCTAAGGCGAGACTCCACAGCAGTGATTTGCAAGACTACAGTTAGAGGGGAAGGATGTGTCGGCCTCTCAGTACTCAGAAGAGCAGGGGCTTCTGAAAGGATGCGTGAAACTAAACGACCATTGGACGCCCAGACAGGAATTCTGAGTCTTGTCCACAGAAAGCAGAACACAAATTTCAGTTACTCCAGTTTTAAAGATATGATTCATTATCAAACAGGTATTTAGACTTCTGTGAAAATGAATACAATTCTGTTTCTTTTAATATTTTATTATTTTATGTATATGAGTGTATTACCTTCATGTATGTAAGTGCACCCATGTCATGCAATGTCCATGGAGGCCAGAAGGGGGCATCAGATCCCCTAGAAGTGCAGTTGTGGATGGTTGTTAGCTGCCCTGTGGAGTTGGGAACCAAACCCAGGTCCTGTTCAGGAACAGCAAGCACTGTTAATCTCTGAACATCTCCGTAGCCCCGTTTTGGTTCATTTTAAAAAGTGTTCTGCGCTATTCCTTTGTAGTCAGACATTGGTTTCTGCTTGTGTAAGAGTTACCGTTACACCTGTCCACCCTTTGCCCTGTGCCCCTGACCTTTACTTTGGTTTTCTTCATTCCCATAGCTTTTTGACCTGGTGTACAGAGAAGAGACTCTGCTCAATGTCATCAAAAGCGTCACTCGGAACGGCCGCTCCATCATCCTGACTGCGGTGCTGGCCCTCATCCTGGTCTACCTGTTTTCCATCATTGGGTTCCTGTTTTTGAAGGACGACTTCACCATGGAAGTGGATAGACTGAAAAACAGAACTCCAGTCACAGGTAGCTGCGGTTACAGGCTGTGTGTTCCCCTGGCAGTTCTGACCTGTACACACCGTATTTGTGGGGTTTCAAACAAATACTGATCGATAAACTTTCACTTCCATCCTTTTAAATATGGCCTTGCTTACCACTGTTGTGGTTTGAGGGTAAAATGTCCTCCACAGCCTCGTGTGCTTGACCACTTGGTCCCCAGCGCGTGGTGCTATTTTGGTGGAACGTTTAGAAGGTGGAGCCTTGCTGGAGGAAGTGAGGGTGGGCCTCACTGGGGGCGGGCCTTGAAGGTTGACTGGCTGCCTCACACAGCCTGGCTGCCCACCTTAATGGCCTGTATCACTTTAAGCTGTTAGCCAAAATATGCTTTCTTCCTCAAGTTGCTTGTTCCTAGATATTTGATCACAGCCAGGAGAACATAATAAACATGCCCTCCGAGAGCCAGGACTTTGAAACACCAGCCTGGACATTATCTGTCGGTGTGGACTGGAGGGTCAGGAGCCGTCATCTGTGCTAGTTCCTTTTCTGTTGCTGTGATAAAACACCATGACAAAGCCAACTTATAGAAGAAAGGATTTACGTTGGCTTCCAGTTCTAGTGGGATCAGAGTCCATCACGGAGAGGGGATGGTAGGCAGGAAGGCAGGGGCAGGGAGCCGGGAGCTGGCACCCTGAAGTACAGCCATGGAACAGAGAGAGTAAACTCAAAGTAGGGTAAGGCTATGAGCTCTCAAAGCCCAACCCCAGTGACATGCTTCCTGCAGCAAGACTGCACCTCCTGAAGCTCCCCGAGCTCCCCCAAACTGGGCCAGCAACTGGGGACCAAGTATTCAAATATTTGAGCCAATGGGACACATTTCTTATTCAAACACCACATCATCTAAGCTCAGTCTTAAAGGAATGTTTCAGTAATGCGTACAGAAGGCTCTCCACAGTGTCAGTGCAGGACAACCTGGAATTCTTCCTCGTCTTTTTTTCTGTCTCCCAAAGAATAATACGTAGCACGCCAAGAGCCGTCATTCAACCATTATTCCACATGTGACCGATGGCATTATATTTAAATAATTTAAAAGTGATAAATGCTTTGATTTGGAAACCATCAGGTTTATGTTTTAGAAGACATGCTTACGATCCTATGATTAAAGGACTCAATTTATCAGAATCTCTGTATGATTTTGCTTGATGTCACTGTGCTGGTCGTACATCATCCATGTGTGGTCCCTGTGTGGCCCACGATAGGAAGGATTATGTATTCCTTGTAATTTAGACTTCTTATTTATTTCTACTTGTTTTTCATCTTTCATACCCTTTGTTGTTGTGGTTAAATTCTTTTGTTGTTCTTTACACATGTACTTTTTTTAATTGCAGTGACTACAATTTGCAAAGAAGGAAGATTACAAAAAGATATACATTCTACTAAACCATTAACTTAAAGCTAAGCTTTAATTAGTAGGAATCTATATGGTAGTCCTTGCCTTTGACAAACATTTCTTAATTATTAAACTACCATTGTATGGTAATATCTTTCTTAAGATTATGGGATGACTGAGTGGTATTTAAATCCATTAGTGAGTCAGAAAGACTGAAGTGCAGAAGAGAACCAACAGATACGTCAGGTGAAAGGTATCAACTCCCGAACTTCATACCAACATGTTAGTCTTTGCTTTCAGGAGTGTGACGTATTCTCTGTTAATGCCTGTTTGCTCCTTAAATAATGCATTTGTTGAGACTTACAGGCATGCTGGTCAGCCTTCCGTTCATTGCTATGATAAAATGCCTGACAATATCATTTTAATACAAGGAAATGATTTGCCTTGGTTCATGACTTTGGATTAATGCCCACTTGGCCCCCTCACTTTGGGCTCATGACAAGACAGAGAACATCACAGTTAAGCAAAGCTGCTTACCTTGTGGTGAGTCAGAAGCAGACACAGAAAGAGGAAGAGCTGGAGTTCCCAGTTCTGCTTTAAAGGGCAAACCCCCAATGACCTCACTCACTTCCACTAGGCTCCACCCCCTGAAGGATCTGAGCGCCACATGCAGGCAACCAAGCTTTCAGTTCATGGCCTTTGGGGGCCATTTAAGAGCCAAACCATTACAACGGGTTTTACATATTTGGAGGAAATGTTTTATACATAGGCTCAGGGTTCCAGTTTTACTATTTATTTATGATTTTGGGAATCATAAATTCTCCACACTCAGAGATCTGCATGTTTTAATGACTTGCAAGATTAGAGCCTGGTCATATTCTGTGGTTCAGCAGGGAATGCATTTGTAAAATAGAAACATAATTTGTGAAATCAAACATGCACAGTAGTTACTGCGTTTTTAAAAATTCTGTGGTAAATATTTTATATTTTTAAAGAGGAAGCAGGTGCTATGATATCAATATATTTTCTTTAGAAATAGGGAAGAAAAAAAACCCAAACCAAACAAAAAACACTGGGTGGGTGTGGTGGCACACGCCTTTAGTCCCAGCACTCGGGAGGCAGAGACAGGTGGATCTCTGTGAGATCAGGGCCATCCTGGTCTACATGGTGAGTTTGAGGTGGGCTGGGGCTACAGGAAGACCCTGTCAAAAAAATAGAAAAAAATAATTTTTTAAACAAATAAAGAACACTAAACCTAATTTTTAAGCTGTTTTTTTTTTTTACTGAAAATACTTATGCACATTTGTATAACAAGCCATTAAAGAAAGCTTTTGTAAATACTATGAAAATGTCACACATGAGAACAGTTAACAGGCTTGAACTCCAGATTTTCCATAGGTTATAAGTTTTTGTTTCATAGATTAGGAGCCCCTACAAAGCCCTAGAAATTTTAAATTTCTTTTCTAGCCCCATTGAGTAGTATCTATCTGAAGTCTTCTTTCTGTTGCTACAGCAGATTACTTGTGACTTTGTGGTTTATAAAGAACAGAGGTTCATTCTGCTCCGGATTCTATAGGCTGAGAAGTGTCAGCTGTGGCACTGGGATTTGATTGGTATTGATGAGGCTCATCCTGCGATGTCCTAACAGCATAGGGCACTTTGTTGTGAGGCAGAAGCAAATGCAACTTTATAACAGACCCACTATTGAGACAAACCAGTAATACATGAATGGCTTAATTGCATCATGAGGAGAAAGCCCTCATCGCCCCCTCAAAGGTCCCGTCTCAGTCCTTCACACCAGGGCTCCAGTTTCAGTTTGTGTGGTGACGAAGGCCTCTGGACCACAGCAGGATCTCAGCTGATTCGTATCATTAAATTCATTCTTTCAGCTATTGAATGCTGTTCACTCCCAGCTGACTGTACATGTTGAGTGAAGTTATTGAGGTTACTCAGGGGGCAAGTGACAGTTGGGACACAAAAGGAGGCGGCTGTGAAGTGGTGATCAGAAATCCCAGAGATGGGAGCAAGCGGGGAGGCGGAGAGTCAGACATGGATGGCGAGACCCACGAAGAGCATGGCCGACTGGAGGCTGCCAAGCAGAACTAGCTCCATCTCTAGGCCCATGACATCAGCAGCTCAGTAGACTGATGCTTCCACTCCAGCAGGTCCAGAGCAGTCTGTGTCTTAGAAAACCCCAAGGAGGGAAAGTTCCATTGACAAGTGGAGGTGACCGTGTCTCTCACACCAATCCCTCCTCATTCTCACTCACCCAGAACACCACAGGAGCGTCCCATGGCCTTGTAATGCGCATTTCCCTTCTGCCCACCCAAATCAGCCGTCCGACCACACCTCTAATTCTCACCTTGCATCTGCACCAGTGTGTGATATTTGGTGGAAAGTGGATGGGTAGGTAGCTCAGGTGAATCAGCCTGCTATGACCTTTGCTGATCTCTGTGCCTTTGGTCAGATAAATTGCACATAGAGTTGCCCTCTGGGTGCCCTGCTGTGGGTCCATGTTCATAAACCCCATGACTCTTTAGATAGGTCCTTCTCCAAATAACTCTTTACTTCTAGAATTCACGTCTCCTTCTAGTCATCATGTTGTCTTAACCCTCACGTTATTTTGTCCATCCAGCTCCAATTACAGCTCTGCCTCTTCATTGACTGTCAGGGCTCCAAAGCCTTGACCAACACTGAGCTATCAGAGCCTAGCCTGGTGCATCAAGTACCTACTAAGGGGGTGGCCACCCGGGCTCATCTGGAACTCCACCTCTCTCTGACCACCTGACATGCACTCCTGCCCCAGTCAGTATTGATGGTGACATGGCCCCTCAAGGGCAGGGAGAGATGGGAGGAGCACTTTGGCCTTCTTCCCCAGGTGCACTCAGCTCTCCCAGCCCCAGTGCCTGCGTGGCACCTTTGCCCACCCGGTCTTCACACCTCCTTCTGCACCTTCTCCTCTTTCCCCCCCTCCATGAGTCCAAAACAATTTTGGGGGCTTGAGCTTTGTTTCAGACAAGTAGAAAGGTCGCTAGTTTTTTTTCTTTTTTCTTTTTATTTATTTTTATGTATATGAGTGCTTTGCCTGCATGTGTGTGTAAGTACTCTATGTGGATGTAATACCCATGGAGGCCAGAAGAGGGCGTTGAGTCTCCTGGAACTGGATTATGGATGATTGTCAGTTGTTAGCCCCCGTGTGGGTCCTGTGAACTGAACCCAGGTCCTCTGTAAGAGCAGCTAGTGCTGTTAACCTCTGAGCCATCACTCCATCCTCAAAGTCACTATTTTCTATGCCATCTGGGCCAACAAAATAGGTATTGAGCCAGCAGATGAATGGGTTCCCAGCGACTATGGAAGAAAAGACAGATCGTGAACAGCAATCTGACAGATGATTCTCTCTTCCTTGGGCTCTTTGATGTCTTCCTTCCCTGGGAGCCATCCTTAATTGTGAGAAATGCCACCACTTATGGTCCCTACTCAGCCACAGGGCCTGGTAGCTTGAGCTGGGGGCCACCACCTATGGTCCCTACTCAGCCACAGGGCCTGGTAGCTTGAGCTGGGGGCCGCCATTGCTCTGGGAAAAGGCTTTCCTTGCACCCCAGGTCAGAACCTTGAATGCATCTGGTCATAGAAACATTGGTAAACATGGTGATTTGAGTCTCAGTACTATTAATACTTTATCACAGCCCCTCCATCCTGCCCAAACAAAGTATACAAAGTATAAGAAGCTTTTAGTGGGTTGGCCCGTGATTCTATTCTCTATTTATAAAATTGCTTTTACAGGCAAAACTGTTCAGAGTTGCAAACCAGCTTACTACAAGGCTGTAGAAAAACAGCTAAGTCAGACTGTGAGCACCTTTGACTCAGATGCTTCCATAGCTCTACGTTTATTTTGTCATTTGCACACGTACCTCTATGCCTCAGTCTACTCTGTGTCTTCTCAGGTAATCATGGAGTTCCTACCATGACCTTACCTTCCATGATGGGAGCCTGCCTGAAGGAGAACTGTTCACCTACCATACCAGCCTCAAACACAGGTCAGTACTGAGAACTCCAGGGCACTGTGAGCCTGATCCCTCTGAAGTTTTCTTTGATATATTATTGGGCCTATGGAGGTTGATGTAGGGATTTCATGGTGGGTTGAGGTGGAAGGAGAGAGAGTAGCAGAACTGGGAAGAGTCAAGCTGCAGACAGGATTCTCTACCTGTCACTGTGCTATCCTGCTCCTCAAGTCATTTTTATCCATGAGAACACAGCAGATCCGCCTGTGTGCTTCCACGTGGCAGCCCACACTAAGGGGTCTCCTTCAGTCTGCACCACCTCTAACAGATGTGGGAGAGCATTTTGTCATATATGGTAAAGCCTATCAGGTCAAGTTTGTGTACCCAGCTGTCCTTCTGTGTGAGTTCATCCACTGGAGCCTGTTCAGCTTGTCTAGCATTGCTCCCTTAAAGAAGATCAACTGTCCCTCACCCAGCAGTGATCAGATGGCAGCCCACACTAAGGGGTCTCCTTCAGACTGCACCACCTCTAACAGATGTGGGAGAGCATTTTGTCATATGTGGGAAAGCCTATCAGGTCAAGTTTGTGTACCCAGATGTCCCTCTGTGTGATTCCATCCACTGGAGCCTGTTCAGCTTGTGTAGCATTGCTCCCTTAAAGAAGATCAACTGTCCCTCACCCAGCAGTGATCAGCTATCAAGAATTCTTCACCAAAGTTGTGGCCTCCTGCCCATTTCCCCAGTTCTATGCTGGTTTTTGTCTGATTGAGTTTGGATGGGTCCTGTGCTGCCTGTCACCTTTGCTGTGGATGTATATGAGGAATGTCCCAGGAGCCCATAAGACCCTGTTTCCTTATGATCATGTACCTCCTCCAACTTCAAAGCCTAATAACTACAACAGTGACCGAAATAGTAACACTTTTATCTTGGGGGTAATCAACAGTTACCTAATTGAACTTGAATGGGAGGGAACTCATGTGTGGTACTGTAAACATAGCCAAATACACATGGCTGGAGAGGTCACAGAGCCTACAGAAAAACCTAAGGCTGTCATACTCTTTTTTATTTTTAATATTTTTTTATTGTATGTGTATGACACATGTGTGGCATTCCCATGGAGGCCGGAAGAGAGCATTGCCTCCCCTGGAGCTGGAGTTACAGGCGATTGTGAGCTGCCTGACACAGGTGCTGGGAACCAAACTGAAATCCTCTGCAAGAGCAGTATGTGCCCTTAACCACTGAGCCATTTCCCCTGCCCACCTCACGCTCTGGACCTGCATTTTCAGACTCTTGTAGAAAACCATTGCTTGATGGGTCAGCTGTTAAGCCATAAGTACCCATCCTGGGCTCATATAACTGGGCGTTTGGGGTCTCACATATGAAGTCACACGCTTATTTCTGTATAGTTCTGCCCAACCCATAATGCTAGGGTTTCAGAGACTCTCCTGTGAGCAGAGTTAGGAGTGTGGGGCACGGTGATTTATAGCTTTGTGTTCCGACACACCATGAACCTCAAGGGTGCTTGTGGGATCCTGATTCTGTCAAACAAAAACCTGGTTCTTCTCTGTCATGCCATTCTTTGATAAACTCCGTATCAGAGGTGAGAGACATCCAACACATAACCCGTTTTTATATAGCTCTGGGCTTAAGGATGGTTATAACATTTCTGACTTTTTTGAAAGAAAAGATCTAATAGAAACTAGATATGATCCATTGACCCTCAGAAGTTTCGTCTGGATCTTTACAGATAAAAGAAAAGTCAACCTCTGGGGCTGGAGAGACGGCTCAGCAGTTAAGAGCACTGAGTACTCTTGCAGAGGACCTGGGTTCAATTCCCAGCACCCACTGGTGGCTATGAACTGTCCTTAACTCCAGTTCCAGGGGAATCCGAAGCCCTTCTCTGACCTCCGCAGCATTGCGTGACGCGGGTGCACTCACATACATGCAGGCAATACACGTATAGACATAAATGTAATAAATAAAATATTTTAAAAAATTCAACCTCTGCTCTAGGGATTCCCATGAAAGATGCTGGAAACGTTGCCTGGAAACCTACTCTCAGAGGGACATGGTCATATTTTTTGAAGTTCTTCAGTTATGTAGAAATATGTCACAATGGGTCTAAAGAGGTGACTCAGTGGGCAAAGTGCTTGCGATGCAAGTATGAAGACATGAGTTTGGTTCCCAGAAACCACTTTTTTATAAAAATCAGACATAGTGGTACACACTTGTAGTCCCAGCCCTGGGGAGGAAGAGGCCAGGAGATCCCTGGGCTCGATGGTCAGCCAGTCTAATGAGAGTGACTGAGGAAGATTGAATTCTGACGTCTGCTTGAATTACCATTACCCCCGCCACACACACGCATATGCACACACACACAAAAAAATATGTCACTAGTGAGCTGTCATTCTTCAGAAAATTATGAAATTCCCAATCAAAACTGCCTTGCACGGCCTTAATCTACAGTGTCAATCTATGCTTTTTTGTTTTGTTTGTTTGTGACAGGGTCTCCCTGTAGCCTCAGTTGGCCTGGAACTTGCTATATAGACCAGGTTGGCCTAAATCTCACACAGATCCTCCTGCCTCTGCCTCTGGAGTGCTGGGATCAAAGGTGAACACCATGGTACCTGGCTTCTGTCTGTGCTCCTGATCCCTCCTTCTCCTCACAGCATCCTTTTAAGGACCCACTTGAGTTTATTGTGTTAGCATCACAGCCATTCACTGTGGTTTTCTGAATATATCTCAAGTCCATGTCTGCAGATGACCCTCCTCTCTTGTCATTATCCAGTATTTTAGAGCTCAGGCACGGTTTAAGTGGCTGGGTGAAATGACAAAGTTCTTGGGATCTCTGTGGCTGCTTTGAGCCTGGCTTACTGTCACCAGGACTGCTTCCTCATCTCCTTTGGGATTCAACAGTGCCCCCCTCCCTCTTTCCCCCTCTCCTTCCCTTCCTTCTGTCCTCCCTTTGGTCTTCCTTCCCCTCCCTTCCTCTTTGGGAACCCTTGACTGAGCCAGCTACCTGGTAGGTTCAAGGTCATAGAACATTAAAGAAGCAAACAAGCTCTTGGCCCTTTGGAGCTCATAAACCCTGAGGGACGCATGGGAAGGTACATACTAAAACTCTGCTGTGGTTGGTAATCACAAGAGAGCCTGGCTAGAGGGGATCAGGAATGAGAGACCGTCCAAGAAGCAGTTGTTTTAAGCTGCCACTCGGAGCATGAGAAGGATCTACCTGGTCAGACCAGAGGAGCCACAGTGTGCCTGGGCACACAGAGCAGTGGAAATCAGGACTAATGAGCTTTTAGGTTGGGAACTATGGTTGGGCACACTATGTGCCTGACCTCATCTCATCACCTGACACCTCTGTGAGGCGGAGATACTGGTTACCTCATATTTTAGGTATAAAACCAATGGAGGGCAGAGACCGGGGAAAGTATCAAGTCTACACAGCTCAACCATTGATGGGGAGCCATGATTCCAGAGCTTGGGCTGTGCCTAAGTTCCACTGTCTCCTAGTTAAACATTACTCCATAGAAATTATTTATTCCTCAGCCAAAGTTTAGGGACTGTTACAATTCTGCCCACCAAATCATGGTCTGAGTATGTCCTGGTAGGTTTTCTCTAAGCACATGGTCTACCAAGGATAATTTCTTGGATATAAATTTCCTTCAATACATAATATATCTATTGATGTTTTGGTGTTGCCTCACCACCTCCTTTCCCTGTAGACTTTTACCAATGCATGCAGACACATGTGATTGTAACAACTAGGGAGAGGGGCTCTTAGCACCCATTAGCTAGAGGCCAGGGAGACCACTCAGCATCCTGCCCTGCCAAGGAGAGCTCATTAACAGCCAGCCCCGGGTATTGATGCCCTTAAGGCCGAGAGTCTGCTGCTTCCATGTTACTTATGACTCAGATGCAAACTCTTACAAAAGGCTTCATGTAGAAACCTCCATTCCATGCTATGCACCCAACTTTTTATACAAAGATCATAGTCTTCCCTTTGTCTAAAGACGTATGGAGACAGTCTTTCATCCCAAGTGCAGTGTCCTCCCCCAGGGCAAGCCTCTGTGTTTAGGGCTGTAACAGAGCTGGGAGAGAGGGGTACGTGAAAATTTTCAGAGAAAGCTACGAAAGAATGGAGGAAGGATATGGTGGTGTTTCAGCCCTGGAGGTGTGATGGGTACAGTCCAGGGAGCTGGTGGCAACAGCTTCCTCCATGAGGGTTAGTCCCAAATCAGGACTGAAGACACGGAAAACCAGCATCAGCCTCCTTCGTACCCCTGACATGCAAGGGTTGAAACTGGATTCACCTGAAATTCTCTGGATTGCCTTTCAATTTTGGCCACATGAATTAACTTTGATAATTTGATTAAAAATTATATGAATTTGATCTTCTCAGTCTGACATTCTCTAAATTATGGCTGTATATATTTAGATGCATTTTTTTAATTCTATGGATTTGCACTCTGAGGTCTTGCTTCCTTTACATTTTGGTGTGGATGTTTAGCAAGTGGAGAGAAAGCAAAGTCTGGTGTTTATTGTGCAACCTGTGTCACTTAGACTTAAAAATAGCTTTTCTCTGCCTGGGACCAGGATGAAATTCTAATTTGCGAACCCTGGTGTGCATTTGTGACAGCCTTGGTTTGCTGCCTTGTGGATGGCAGGCACAGATCACAAAAGGCCCAGACACACACAGCGGCCTAATAAGCAGGCTGGAGATGGCTGGCAGGCAGAGTGCCAGCCCCAGGAAGGCTCCTGCTGGTGGAGGCTAGCTCATTTTCTCAGAGGCAGAGAATTCAGATGGTAACTGGCAACTCATTGAGTTGAAAAACACCCCAGAATCACATATTTCGTTTGCTACAGGCCTTCCAGACTGCTGGACAAAAATACTCACCTAACCCCGCCCCCAAAACCGACTTCTCTCAACAAGCAAAGCCTTCTCAAGACAGAGCTAAAAATACAATCACAATTATTTTGTGCACAAAAGTCATTTGAATGTTCATGGGGATAAAAATGCTCACAGATGTTTAACATTTATGAGCTATTCCGATTTTAATCCGTTTTGGTGTTTAGTTTAATAGAGAAGACGTGGATCCCAGACCTGGTCAAGCTCACACTGAGCATGTTGGCTTCCCATCGGGAGCCAGTGTCTCTAAATTTTTCCCTAGTTAAAAGAGTTTAAGATCAGCATTTCCATAATGGAAGAATTGTCGTTAGCATTTAAAGAAGAGGACCTGGGCTGCGCTCTGGCTTCCACGTGCATCTCAGTGGCAGTCTGTTGGTTCCTCAGAAGCCTTAACAACAAGTAATTTAGTTATTAAAGCAGAACAGAGACACGTCAATAAATGTTCATATGCCAGTGCTTTTAAAATTTTATTTATTATCTTTATTTTATGTGTAGTGAATTGCCTGCATGTGTGTAAGTGCACCCGTGTCGTGCAGTGCCCACAGAAGTCAGAAGAAGGCATTGGATCTCCTGGAACTAGAATTACAGATGTTTGTAGCTGCCATGTGGGTGCTGGGACTCACACCCAGGTCCTCTGTAAGAGCAGTCGGTGCTCTTAACCGCTGAGCCATCTCTCCAGCCCCAATATGCCAGTGTTTTTAAAAACGTATAGACTGACACTTATGTGAGAGAACCACTTCAGATCCAGTAGGATATATTTTTATTCCTTCCTTTAAACAAAACTTTCTTAAGAATTAAGAAAAGGGCTGGGCGTGGTGGCGCACACCTTTAATCCTAGCACTTGGGAGGTAGAGGCAGGCAAATCTCTGTGAGTTCAAGGCCAGCCTGGTCTACATAGTGAGTTCCAGGCCTGCTGGGGCTACAGAGAGACCCTGTCTCAAAAAGACCAAAAAAACAAAAAACTATGACTTCTCATAAGATTTAACTGCCACCCATTGTAATTGATAAGTTACATCCACTGAGCCCCAACTATGTGCCAAGCACTGTTCTAAGTTTGTGTGTGTGTGTGTGTGTGTGTGTGTGTGTGTCTCCATCCTTGTGTATGGATGCAGGTGTGTGTGCTCAGCTTATTTTATCCAAATGTGTTTGGGTGGACTGCTGCCCAGGCACGGCTCTTTCGATGCTCAGTTCAGAGGCCCCTGTCTTCAGGATATCTAGGCTGCTTTGCCCATCTGCTGGCCCACCTTTCCTGGGGATCATAAGGTTCCCTTTTATCCTGATCACTTGTATTTCTGGCTCCAAGCCCAGTGGCTCTTGGTATAGTGAAATGAACCAGGCCAGTGTGGTGTGGGGAAGAGCAACTGATCACACAGGTGACCATCAGGTGGCACTTACCTTTGTGGGTTTACAGTGATTCAGGGTCTGGGAGCCCTACATGACCTATCGAGCGTGAAACCTATCTCACAGAGGTAGAGCCTTTCACCAAGGTGGTAGAGGCTGTTACATGAGCCCCGCATGCCAGGGCAGCTGTCATTAATCACCATGGTTGGACTGATGCTGACATTGAGCCGACCTCAGTGTCCTCCCCAAGTGTGCATGCCACGCAGAAAGCCAGACGTCTTAGTGTGTATTTGCAGCCAATCTTTTTTTTTTTTTTTTAATGTTTTACTCATCTAATTTTTATATTTTAAAAAAGTCAGTGATGGGGCTGGAGAGATGGCCCAGTGGTTAAGAGCACTGGCTGCTCTTGCAGAGGACCTGGGTTTGGTTCCCAGCACCCACATGGCCACTAATAACCATCTGTAAGTCCAGTCCCAGGGGACCCAACAGCCTCTGACCTTCTTGGTCACTGCGCGACACAGATGCTCTTACCTACATGCAGGAGATATACTCACACACAAAATAAAAATAATTTTAAGAAGTCAGTGACCCTGTCTTGTAGCGCGTTTGTTATGAGTTCAGATTAATTAAACATACTAATGGGCTTCATTGTGATAGTTCCACATTTGCCTTTAATGTGCTTTGAGTGTATCCAACCCCCATGAGCCTTGCTAACCTCCCTCCCCTTCCACATCCCTAATTGTCCCTCATAGCTTTCCTCTCCTAAATTCCATGTATGAGAGAAGACGTGATACTTTGTGAGTCCGACTCATCACGTGCCGTTTCCTATGGACAGTGCAGTGTGTTCTTATTTATAGCTGAATGAAAGTCTATTCTGTGCTTATTTTCTTTAACCACTTGTCATCTGTTGATGTGCACCTAGGCTGACATTATCATTTGGTTGTGACTAGTGTCTCAGTAAACACAAGTATGCAGGTGTCTCTATAGTAAGGGTATACACCCAGAGGTGGTATAGTTGGGTCATGTGATTGGTCTTTTTTTTTTTTTTTTTTTTTGGAGCAACATCTATGGTGCTTTCCATAGTGGTTGAATGTGCTGGATGCTTTAGTGTCAACTTGACACCCCTGGGTAGAGTGAGCCTCAATTGGGGAATTGCCTCCATTGGACTGGCCTGTGGCCATGTCTGTGGGGTATTTTCTTGACATTTCAGTAATGTAGGAGGGCCCAGTCCTCTGTGGGTGGTACCACCCATGGGCAGGTGGGCCTATGTTGTATAAGAAAGCAGGCTGAGCAGGGGCCAGGGGAGCAAGCCAGTAAGCAGCTTTCCTCCATGGCCTGTGCTCCACCTCCTGCCTCTAGGTTCCTGTCTTGAGTTCCTACTTTGGGCTCCTTGAGGGATGAACTGTGACCTGGGAGATGTAAGCCAAATAAACCCTTTCCTCTCCAAGTTGGTAGTGGTCAGAGCGTTTTGTCACAGCAAAGTAAAGCAAACCAGAACACTGTACTACTTTGCATGCCAACCTGCAGTGTATAAGTGTCACCTTTCTGCCACATTCTAGTCAGGAGTTGTTAGCTTAAAAAAACCTTGATGACCACTGTCTGACAATGGGTTGATATGGAACCTCAGTGTACTTTTGATTTGCATGTCTCTGGTGGCTGTTGATGTCGAACATTTGTCATGTGTTTATCGGCAGCCATTCATCATAGCTAATTGCGTGTGTGGCGCATGGATTTCCCCACCTCCCCTCTTAGAAAATGAACGACCTAATTTCCGAAATCTCAGGGAAGGAAAGTACCTCTTTCCCGTCTCTTCTGTGTGCCTGCTGACCAAAGTGGCACATGGGTCATCAGTAAGTATTGCTGTGACATGACCAGGCAGTTACTAATGAAGAAGTGAATGTATCCCAGGCCCAGGCCACTAGCTCCCGGACCGCTTCGACTGAAAATCTGCCTTCAGAGCAAGCTCGTTCACTCTATGCATCTTCTCAATTCTTCTCCATCATGCCGGAACCTCCCTCGTGTGTTGGAACCTAACTAGCACCTGGCGTGCACCTGTGCACTGCTTGTCTGTCCTGCTCTGTCGCCACCAGCAGCCCGTCCCTGTCCGCATTGCTCCTTCCTCTGACAGAAGTGCTGTTTCTTCTGATTTCTAAACTGGAAGGTGCCTTGGGTTCAGCTCTGGGGTGAGGAAGCTCACACAGACCCCTGTGCCTCCAACACTGCGCTTTGTTCTTACTCTTCTCTGCTTGTAGACGTCCTGGCTGGGGATTTGCCAGCGTGTTTAAAAAGGGGCAGCTCAGACTAAAAAATATCAGGATCCATCTTCCACAGGATATAAAATGAAATGTATTCAGAAGAGAAGAATCAGCCTTTTCATAACAATGTGCCACACGGGCGTTGGTCATGGGTCATACAGACAGACAGACAGATATGTTTCCTTCCCTCCCCAACAGTGCTTGTTTTTATGTTCATGATTTGACATGTGGGTTGTGGCCAGCCACCCCCAAATCAATACCCCGGAGGTCCTTTGACTTTGTGAGGAAACACGCCTTTCTCCTCATCCTCAAGTGTCAGAGAATCTGACTCTCATTTCCAACTTATATGAAATTTTCACTACTTTGAATGGGTTTGGGTTTAATGAGTAGACCTTTCTTTGCCTGGTGGGTTGTGGTTGTGGCTGTTACTGTCTCCCCGACTGTAGCCAGGAACCATGAGCATTAACCTTTTTACGTTTTTACCCTTTCATCCTATCGTTTTCCACCTATCTAAGAGGAAAAAAAAAAAATCTTAGAAAGTTAAACATATGTCTCTACATGTGTCAGTAATGTGTAGTCATGTGTGAAATAGATGTCGTGTGACTTCAAAAATCCTGTTGTCCCAGGGCTGGAGAGATGGCTCAGTGGTTAAGAGCACTGACTGCTCTTGCAGAGGACCTGGGTTTGATTCCCAGCACCCACATGGTGGCTAACATCCATCCATAACTCCAGTTCCAGGGGATCTGATGCTCTCTTCTGACCTCTGCAGACATTGCATGACACTGGTGCACTTACATACATGTGGGCAACACACTCATGTACATAAAATAAAAACAATAAAGAAAATAATTTTCAAACATACTGTTGTCGATAGAAGCAGATCTTTGGAAGTAGATCTCCATTGTCAGAATGGAGCTCATCACACTGCTTAATGTTTGCGTTTCTGCAGCTGATGAAGACAGTGAAGATGGGATTGAGAGGACGTGTGACACTCTGCTGATGTGCATTGTCACAGTGCTGAACCAGGGTCTCAGGAACGGCGGTGGAGTGGGGGATGTGCTCAGACGGCCATCCAAAGATGTAAGCCAATGGGAAAGGGTTTTGTTTAAGAAGCATGTGACTATTTCCTCCCTCCCTCCCCCCT